CTAAGTTCTTCTTTGATTTCTTTAGGGTTCTGTAGTTTTCATTGTATAGATCTTTCACCTCTTGCATTGAATCCTAAGCATCTTATTTTTTTTTTTTTTGAGGTTATTGTAAATGGGGTAGTTTTCCTCATTTCCTTCTCAGAGGATTTGTCACTGATATTGAGTTAATTTTTTAGTTGGTGTGAAGTAGGGCTTCAAATCTATTCTCTCATATGTTGGATATCCAGTTGTTCTAGCATCATGTGTTGAAAAGACTACTCTTTCCCTACTGGATTTTCTTGTCATTTGTCTAAGTAAGTTGGGGATAATTGTATGGGTTTCTTTCCCCCCTGGACTTCAGTTCTATTCCATTGGTCCCTCTCTCCATCTTTCTGTCATAAACCGCACCAATTGGTTTACTTTGTGGTAAGTTTGAAATTGGTGTGAAGCATCCACTTTGGTTCTTCTTTTTATATTTATTTATCTATTTAAATTTAAGAGAGTCTTGCTTAGTTGCTTAGGGCCTTGCTAAGTTTCTGAGGCTGGCTTTGAACTTGAGATCCTCCTGCCTCAGCCTCCCCAGACTCTGGAATTACAGGTGTATGCCATTGTGCCTGGCTTTGTTTTTCTTTTAAAAGTTTGTTTTAGCTATTCTGGGTTGTTGTATTTTCATATAAATTTTAGGATCAATCTATCAATTTCTACAGAAAGTCAGCTGGGATTTTGATAGGTATTTTGTTGAGCCTGTAGATCAATTTGGAGATCTAACAGTATTAATTCCACAGTTCATGAACATGGAATGTTTTCCCAATTACTTAGGTTGTGTTTAATTTCTTTCAACAGTGTCTTCTACTTTTCAGTGTCCACATCTTTTACTTCTTTATTTAAATTTTTTTTCTATTTTCTTCATTCCTCCTCCCCTGCCTCCCTTCCTCCCTCCCTTTCTTCCTTCCTCTCTTCTTTCTTGTGCTGGAGATTGAACCTAGCGCCTCACACATGCTAAGCATGCACTTTACCACTGAGCTTCATCCCCAACCTTATTCTTAAGGATTTAAAAAATGCTGTTATAAATGTAATAGTTTTCTTAATTTCATTTTCAGATCATTCATTGCACATTGCAGAGTGTAGAAATGTGACTGACTTTTGTAGGTTGTACTGTATCATTGTGTGTGTGTGTGTGTCTGTGTGTGTATTAATTCTGTAAGATTTCTATATGTAAGATGATACCATTCATGCATGGAGGTAGTTTTACCTTTTCCTTCCAAGTCTGGATGCTGTTCCCTGTTTGTTCTCCTAATTGTCTGGTTAGACCCTCCAGTCAATGATGGCACAAATGTAGGAAGAACAAGTCTTCTATCTTGCTCTTGGCCTCAGCGTGGAAAGCTCTGGCCTTCAGTTTGTTGACAGCTCTTGGTTTTTTGTAGATGCCTTTTATCAGTTTGAGGAAGTCTCCTAGTTCTTATTTGTTGATGATTTCCTTTTCTTTTCTTTTTTAAATAATGAAAGGGTGTTGGCTTTTGAAAATGCTTTCTCTGTCTCTATAGAGATGACCATTGATATTTATATGATGTATTGATCTTATATTCCAGAGAAATCCTGCTTACATATGGTTTATTATTATTTCTATATGTTACTGCATTCAGTTTGTTAGTATTTCCTGCAGAACTTTTGCATGTATATTCATAAGTGTTATTGGTCTGTAGTAGTGTTTTTAATTTTTATTTTATTCTTTTTTCTTTTTAAAATTGACCTAAATCATATATTTTTTAAAAAAATTGGTTAATTAATTATTTGATTTATTTTTATGTGGTACCGAGGATTGAACCTGTTGCCCCACACCTGCTAAGCAAGTGCTCCATCACTGAGCCACAACCCCAGCCCTGTATGTATTTTTAATATACAACATGATACTGTGTAGAATGGCTAAGTTAAGCCGATTGACATGCCATTCGACATCTTGACTGTTGTGAACCATGCTACAATGAACATGGCAGTGCAGAAAATCCTTTGACACATTGATGTCATTTCCTACGGATGCTATACCCAGTAGTGGGGTTGCCGGTGTATGTGGTAGTAAAACCACCCTGCTGTTTTCCACAGTGGCTACACTGATTTACCTTCCAATGTTAAGTGTCACCTTTTCTCCACCTACTCACCCAATGCTTGTTATCTTTTCTCTTTTCAGTAATAGCCATTCAAACAGTGTGAAGTCATGGTCTGTAGTATTCTTGTAAGATCTTTGTCTGACTTTTATTTTCTATTCTGTATTTATTTCTACCTTAGTCTTTATTATTTTTTTTATTGGTTATTGCTATACTTTGAATGTTCCCTCAAAATTCATATTGAAATTCGTTCCCCACTGTGAGGTATTACCTGTTACTGTTGAATTTTATTTTCCCTTCAATTATTTTTATTTTTTGCTTTATGTATTTTGGGGTTCTATTGTTATATATGTTTATAATGCATGCATCTTCTTTTTAAAATTTTATTTTTTGTTTTATTTTGAGACAGGGTCTCGCTAAGTTGCTGAGGTTGGCCTCCAACTTGCGATCCTCCTACCTCACCTCCTGAGTATCTGGGATTATAGGTGTGTCCCACAGCACCTAGTTTGGATGTATCTTCTTGATGAATTGACCCTTTTATTATCATAAAATGTCCTCTTTTGTCTCTAGTAACAAATTTTGTCTTGAAGTCTGCTTTGATAATTGTCAGTATGATCACTTCATCTCTCTTCTGATTGCTTGGTATATGTTTTCCTGGCCTTGTACTTTTATCCTTCTTGTGTCATTGAATCTAGTTTGACTCTTATAGACAGCATGTAAATGGAGTATATTTTGTTTTTATTCTTTTAAACACAGTCTGCCAAACTCTGCTTTTTATTTGGAATGCTTAGCTCATTTAAATTTAATATACTTACTGATGAGGTAGGATTTACTTCTGCTGTTTTTCTATTTTCTATACCTCTTTGTCTTTTTTGCTCTTCTGTTCTTCCACTATTACTTTCTTTTTATGTTATATAAATCTTTTCTAGGGTAGCATTTTAATTCCCTTGTTATGTCTCTTATTATATATTTTTGAGTTATTTTTTATGGTTGCTCTAGGGATTATAGTTAGTATTTTTATTTATAACAGTTTAATTCCCATTACTACCAACTTAAATTCAATAGTATATAAAAACTTTGCTCCTCTAAGCTCTTATTCTTCCTTCACTCTGTTTGTGTTATAAATTACTTCATTATACAATGTGTGTCCATCAGCATATATTTATACCAATAATTTTATACCGCTATAATTTAAATCAAACAGGAGAAACAGAGTTACAAACAAGAAGTACACTTATACCATCTTTGATATTCAATTCTGTAATTCCCTTCACTTGTACTCTGTATTTCTTCCTGTGGATTTAAGTTAATGTCTCATTTCCTTCCATTTCAGCTTAAAGGAAAAGTTTCTTTAGTGTTCCTTATTGTGCCAGTCTGCTGGTGATAAACACTATGTTTTTATTTATCTGGGAATATCTTAATATCTCCTTTATTTAAAAAAAAGTTTTGTGGATACAGAATTCTTAGTTGACATCTTTGTTCCCTTTCAATACTTCAAAATTGTTATCCACTGCTTTTTGGCCTCCATGGTTCCCAGTGAGAAATCAGCTGTTAGTCTTATTGAGGATGCCCTGTACGCGATGAGTCACTCGTCTCTCTTGCTGCTTCAGGATTCTCTTTGTCTTTTGCTGTCAACAGTTTGATTATTAATTTAAAATCTACTAACATCCTGCCCATAGTTCATCATCCCTTTTGAGTGGATAGCATTGGACAGTTTTTCTAGAGCTTTAATACAACTCTCATGATCTTATATCTGTAGCATTTCCCTGGTCCTTCAACTTTATGATTTAATAGTATGTGGCTTTGTTTTTTGTATCACATTTCATACTTTTATAGAACTTCAGATTGGTATTTGCATGATTCTTTACCATAAGTCATCTACTTGGTTTACTGAACACCTGCATTTGGAAGGCTTTATGCAAGTGTTCCAGTTTTCTTAGATAAGTGTTACATGGTCTGTGATGACGACACATTTGTTGGCAACTAGTAGCTATGACATTAGGATGAGGGTTCTGTGAATATCAACCAAGTTTTCTGGCAGCACAGAGGAGAAGGTTTTTATGTTTAGTAGATGAACAAACTGAAAACTATATAGATTAAACAATTCAAAACCTTAAGGTTACCTAAATTAGAAATGTGCAGACCCAAGGACTGGAACTCATAATTTTGGATTCTATCTATGAAACTGGTGGTTCTAGAGTGTGGCTATTTTCTATTTCAAGCATCAAAGGTAAAAATGAATTATTACACCAGTTAAACTGTGTTAAGCATAGACTATTTTGCTTCAGAAGGTGCACATGCTACAAATAAAAAGAAATAGTGTTTACTTATGCTTATTAAATTATACTAGTATGAATTTAGTAGACAAGTGACTATGTTGAAATTTGAGGTGTCAAACTATGAAAAGATTCTTTTACTAAATTCACCCTGTTTTTCCCTTTCCTTTTTTAAAATTGATATTTCTGTTTGGAAAAGAACCCTTTTTTCTCCAGTAAAATTTTGGATACATACAGTTCATATTAGAATTTCCTTAAAAATTAGAGTTACTGATCAATCAGAACTGTGCTCATCCCCCCATAGAATAAAGCACGGCATCTTTGGGCATACAGTTTTAATTTTAATCTGCATGCCTGCTTTTCTACTCTCCCATGATTCTTTGCAGCAGGACAAGGAAAAGCAAATCTTATAAAAATAAATACAGTATGTGGTGCTTATTAAAGTTACATACATCTCCTCTCACAGGAGAATTCTGATTCACTGCAGGTTGTGCATATGTTGCATATGGACATTTCTAGGGAACAGATTCCCTATTGCTGAGCAGTGAAAGGCTTCTAGTATTCCATTATTGCTCCGGGAACATGTTAGTCATGATTATGAAAGGTAGGACACCATGAAATCTGTAAGGTGATTTGGCAGGAGTCGGTGCTGCTGGTGCCAGGATTTGGGTACCGTACCACGGTTTCCTGTTTTCAAATGTATTAATTGATCCGCAAAGGACATCTTTGGAGACAAGAATTCAGACAGACTGGCACAGCCTGGACCTCCGCCAAGACTGCTCGGAAGGTTGCCATACTGGGAGCAAAAGAGTGAGAGAGAGAAAGAGGGAGAGAGAGAGAGAGGCAGAGGGAGAGCTGAGGAAAGAAAAAAAGGCAAGACTTGGCACAGCTCAGTCGAATCCGCTTCTTTTGTCTGCCTTCTCGGCTTGAGCTTCAGGAAGAAAACCGTCCTGGGTACAGAAAACTCAGAACTTTTTGGTTTTCAAACTTAGAAGGCTTTTTAAGTCTCGTGGGCTATTTGAAAGTGTTGGTACATACAATGACGTTTAGTCACCAGTATTTAGGGAAATAAAAGCCTTTTTCAAAAGGAGGCTTCCACAGTGTCCATGCATGTGGGAAATACTGTATTTGATTTTTTGCATATATGATTATACCATGAGAGACAGGATGAACATAGAAGATGGCAAGGCAAATTTCTAATTAGAGAGAATTAAATTTTCTACAAAATAAAGTTTGTTCATCAGTACAAACCTGCTTTCAAATCCAATCAGACATCCTTCGGAATGTGTTCAGAACGTAAGTTTTTAGACTTTATTTTATTTTATTTTTTCCCATTGTAGACATTAAGTTTTTCAGGAGTCTTTCTAAGATTTTATGCAGCCCAGCCAGGAGGGCAGAGTAAAAGTTGCTTGATCCATGTGTTTAAGAAAACGATTTCTTAAAGCAACAGCTTTTATTTCTGCTGCTTCGTGCTGTCCTAAACTACCTCCCCAGCAATTAGTGACAACACTGGAGCCCAGAAAGGCAAGCTGAAGACACCAGACTTCGCTCGAAGGGCAGGAAAGAAATGTGAGCTTGGTCATTATTTTTGTGTGTGTCTTTGCTCTGAACCATTTTTGGGAGGTGGGTGGGGAGGTGGGTGGGTAGGTGTCTATGTCTGAAGATGTGTGCGATTAGTGAATTCTCATTGTGGGGAGGAATGATAAAAGGTGATTTTTCACAATGTTGGCAGAAATGGCTGGGAATGGTAGAGACCAGAGATTTAAATCTTCTGGGAAAGAAGTAGTGGCTGTGTTTGAAATAGTTGGAGAAAAATTCCATTATTTTTTAGTTGATTAGGTTTTATTATTCAACGGTTACTATAGCCTGGCTCTCTCAAAATATTTTAGGCAAAAAGAAAATCTAGAAAGTCCATCGATTTTCTTTTAAATTCTACCTGGTGTTTTACTTAGATATATACTTTATATGTAATTTCATGACAATAGATGCTTCCTGTCAGGCCTGGTTATAACCAGGTTGGATTGTGATAGTTCTGATCTTAAAAATCAGTATTGTTGTAGGAGAGGTTAACTGGGAAGCACGTATTTTGTGGACCACCCTCATTGTCAGTAAGTATTCTATTTCTAAAACAGAGTTTGAGGCATAGATGATGACTTCCTGGAATCATAGATTTTCTTTTTATTTTATGTACTGGGAGAATGCCGGAAAATCGGACCTATTCACATAAGTACTAATCTTTTTGGACAGTATAAAAGACTGCTCCTGGATCTGTGCTTTTGTTTTGAGTATGTAATCATTGATTTGTTAATCCTTTGACAAAAATAAACTGTCCATAGCTTTCTATGATTTCGCACCTTAAATGATCAATTGTTTAAGGTGGTCTTTATAAAATTATGGTGACATATCAGTATTTCTGAGAGTGGCATTTAATGGACAAATGCGATTTTAAAACATATGAAATCTAATACAGGTGTTTGAATTGTTAAGCTGAAGTGTTTTCTTCCACTTTTTACTCATCATCATTTTGATTTTCAATAAAACGAAATCACTTGGTGTTTGTGTGGGTTGCCAAAGTGACAACCTTTGTTCTGTACGCTGCTTTGCACCCACCTCCCTGACACTCCTAACATGGACGCCATGCCGTGAAAGACAGCTGAGAGGCACTGGAAAGGACGTGTTTGCCTGACCACAGTCCTCATTCTTGAACTGATTGCAAGATCATTCGCGTCCACGCTAAAAACTATAATATAGAAGACAGAAAGTTCAGGGACTGAGCTCAAATGAGAGCTACATTTTATTGCTGACCATCTTGTTCCGTTGATATTTACTTGCCAAACATTTAACACCATCTCTTATCATTTAGGATTGCCAAATATGTAACTAACTTTGTTTATTTAAGACATTTTCCCCCTAAAGCAAATAGAATTATTTACTAGCTTATTTCTCAACTTCTTTGTAGCGAACTCAATAAGAACAAACTTATGTCCAAACTATTTTAGGGCCAATTATTTTCTAACAGTATAATCAAAAGTGGGCGAATTTAAAAACAAAGATGTCGGAATATACCTTAAGAAATTTTAAATTTTTCGATACTGGTAAAACTACATTTTCGTGGTGTGATTAGATTTAAGCTTTGATGAAAATCAGCCATTTTATCAAATAGTTTCTTACCAGCACATTCTCTTTGGCCTACTTGCTACACATCTTAAAACGAAAAAGTCCTTCTGGAAGATGCTTATTGTTAGCTGGGTGGAATGGACACTTCTGTGTACAGCTATTTTTTTAGAGGTTTGATTAAGAAATTGTGTTGATCACATTTTTCAAAAACAGATATTTAGGTTGAACCTAATGCATGTTTCTTTTTCTTTAGACCTTTTATGCTATAAAACATCGATGTTTGTTATTAACTATTTCCATGATAGTGCTTATATTTCAAATCTGACTTTTAAGTGTCTAAATACCAGTGTTCTGATTGTAAATACACACGCTCTCAAGCACATAGTCGCTATATTTGGATTGCATGATTTTTTGAAGTAGAATTATTAAGGCAGAAACGGGCTTAATAATGTTTAATGCTAGTTGATGCCTGTTGTTAAGTCCTGTTGTTAAGTCCTGTTTCAATGCAGATACTTGCACATATAAACCACTGATGTAGCTAAACAGGTAGCAGATTGACAAATAAATTTAGAGTATTTCTTAGGAGCCTGGGAGGAAGGCTGAGAACTGGGAGAGAACTGGCCAGGGTAGCAGAGGAGAGCTGCAAACCTCTCAGGGGCCTAAGTCCAGTATTTTGATAATTTTTCACTCATTTATTCAACAAATGTTTATTGAGCACCCATTTAAGTATGTTGGTATTTTGCTGTTGGAGTTATTTTGGGTAACAGCGAAGGAAGCCACAAACGTGGATCCAAGAGGGAATTGATTTGAAACAAAGCTCAAAAAGCCTGGATAGAAAAGAGTAGTATAGTACTGTGACTTATAGGTTAAAGGGTGTTCACTTTTATTACACAATGTATGTGTCCCAGAGTGCTATTATAAAAACGCCGAGAGGTGGCTGTAGTCCCCACAGCTAGACTGTGGCTTCACCACTGTTTGGGAGGCTGCTTCTCATTGGCCAAAGCATTTCAGTCGTTCAGGTCTCCTGGCAGACCCCAAGAGTAAGCAGTCCTGTGCTGTAAGGGAGAAACCAGGAAGGTCCAGCTGCTGTCCACATTCTGGAGTGTCCGTGGGTTAAGTAACGTAGGTGTCATTGAACCTTTGAAGATGTGTAAAAAACAGTGTACGTTTATAAGGATGGTTTTTTGTTGCCTTTGTTTTCTGTGGTGAGAACGAGGAGAACAAGGAGACTGATCCCAACATCCTGTGGTCAGTGTGGCCCCAAAGTTAGGCTTGCCAGTGGGCGAAGTCCTTCAAAGGGACCAATCATTCACCTTCTGTGTTCTCCCAGGTTTTTGTTTCTTGGTGCCTGTGGAGCTTAGCGGCCTAGCTTTATTCCATGGGTTGTTCTCTAACGTGAAGAGGAGGCATGGGCTCCTATTCTGAAGGGGTGACAGAAGCCACGGCATGAGGGAGATGGCCGGGCGCTGGAGTGGAGATGGCCGGGCGCTGGAGTGGAGATGGCAGGTGTAGCCGGGCTCGCACTGCTCAGAATCCTGCGCGGGGCGAGGCCTGTGCTGTGCCAAGCAGAGGATGCAGCTTCGTCTTGCTGAGGGAGGGAGGGAGGGCGACTGGTGTACGTCTCTCAGCCACTTCACCTGGTACCCATCAGACCCCAGCAGCAATGCATGGCGGTCACTAATGAGTGTTCACTGAAAGACCCAGCCGAGCTTTGGGCCTGTTATCATCTTCTTTTTTTTAAAAATTTATTTTAATTAGTTATACATGACAGAATGTATTTATGCACTTTGATATGTCATACATAGATGGGATATAATTTCTCATTTTTCTGAGTGTACATGTTGCAGAATCATATTGGTCATGCAGTCACATAGATACATACAGTGATAAATCTTCTTGTTTTTCTCCTCATGGTAGAGAAACAAAAATCATGGTGCTTGTTTTTATCCAGATTCTGGGTTGCTGGTTAAGGGGTGTCGGGGAGGGGGGGCTCGGAGCTGATGTTAGAATCCCTCAAGGTCGTTATCTGAGACTGATTGACAGTGGCCCTGGCCACCCACTGCCTTCCAGCGCCCTGTTGTCTTGCATTCTCCCTATGCTTGTTTTCCCAAGGCTCCCTGCCTGTCCCTTAGGACTTGGTGGTGTGGCCTAAACAGGTAGCAGGTTGACAAAGAGTTTGAATTATTTCTTAGGAGCCTGGGAGGAAGGTTGAGAACTGGGAGGGAAGTGGCCAGGGGAGCAGAGGAGAGCTGAGGCCGCCGCTCCGTTGCCAGCTGCAGCCTGTGGGAAGGCTCAGAGTGGAGGCCCCTTTAGGGCCAGGGGTGTATGTGGTCCCTGGGGTTAGACTGGAATGTCAGCAACAGCCCACCCTGACAGTGTCCAGGGCATTATGGGGGTGGCACTAGAAGCGTTGCCAGGCCAGTTCATGTCAAGTGGCACCTTTCTAGGTCTTTCTTCAGCAGGGCTGTGAGTCCAGGACGGGGAGGCGGTGCCAGGACTATTCCTGTGGGGCATGTGCTTTCCTGCCCAAGCTCGGAGCCTTGTCCATTGGAGGATGTCCCAGGCCCCATGGGTGCTAGTGGTGGCCCTGGGGAAGAGTCCAGATGTGGAACTGGAATGGCCAGAATAGAGTAAGGTAAAGGGGTTTGGTGTGGGGAGGGCAGCATTCCAGTTTGGGGCCCAGGGTCTAGGTGGGGTGGGATACATGACTGGAAAGTTCTAGAGCCATGGTGACTGGGGAAAGGTGTGAATAGAGATTGGGGACAAGTAACAGGAAAGGCTGGAAGGTACTGATGTCAGGAGTTTCTCTGAACAGGTTGAGCCTATAGCATGGCTTGCAGGAGGGCTTTCCTTCTCTAGGAGCAAGTGTGAGGGCCCGTAGAGAAGGACAAGCCACCTGCGCGCACTCTCATTCCACAGTGCTGCAAGAAGGAAAGGTCTCCTCTGTCCCGCAGGTAGCATCTCCGCCGACTAGAATGCCCCTGACGTATGCAGCTTGAGGTTTTGAAGACTTAGTTCCTCCGGAGTGATGCTATTCATTCCTTTCTCCCTGTACATCAATGCCATTTATGTATCTTTTCCTGCTAGCCACTCTAAGTCACTGTCCCTTACTTGAAAAGATCAAGGTGTTCTCAGGGACCAGGAGTCTGTGCCTAGGGTACTCGTGGGAGTGCTGCCTT